CCTAAAAGACAGAGACTTGGTGGTGTCTACTAATAAGGCGAAAATCTTATACATTCTGAGATTTTTATGTATTCATCCACCTATTTGCTGTTAAGTAAATCTAAAACGTATTATAAAAAACGAGAACAATATTATAGTTGAAAATCAAACTTTAAAAATATAAAAAACAAAAATATGCTTGCCGATATTTTGAAATATGCTTTCAAAAAGTACTTTAGTGCATCGGTCAGTAGTACGAAGCATATGTTATACCGGAATGAATGAAAATAGTCTTGAATGAATTCAAAAGATACGAAGCTGTTGTGTTTTTTTTTTTGTTTTTTTTTTTTTTTGTAAAAAAAAGTCATTTTACTTTGTGGTGTTTGTTGTCTCTTAAAACCTATTATAGGTAAGTGGTGACGTCATCACTTTTAATTGTACTAAATTTCCTTATTTCTGACTGATAACTATATCGTGTTCTTCTTTCTTTTCTTTTTCTTTTTTTTTTTTTTTTGCGTCTTGTGTGCAAAAAACCTCAAAGCTTGGGTGATTTTACTACAACTCATCGCGATGGAATAATGATTAGGTGAATATAAGGTGATTGACTTATAAAAAAAAAACTGGAAAAAAAATATGGAGTAGGAAAAAGTAGGAATTTTCTGAGATGCATTTTTTAGATATAGGTCTATTGAACGGGCCCCCAGTGCTTTGCACTGACTGCACTGTCCATACGACGCCACTGAGCACAATAATATAAAGAAAGGTAAATTCATGAATAGAAAAAAAATGACTAAATACGTACTTGCAACGTTTTGATCTACTGGCAGTCGATCTTCATCAGGTACTGACGGATGCTGATGCTACTTATTTGTCTTTCTCACATGTACGACCAACTCCTACACCCTTCAAAGCCGGAGCCACCCGGCAACCACCCTGATGGGAGAGCTGATAGAAGGCGTTACGTAACACCTAGTAACGCCTCACAAAACAAGTAGCATCAACACCCGTCAGTGCCTGCTGAAGTTTTACTGATAGTCGATCGAAACGTCGCTAGTACGTATTTATTCATTGTTTCCAATTATGAATTTACCCTTCTTCACTATATGGAAACCTAATGAAATTATATTGTATAATATATGCATTGGGTCATGTCGCCAATGAATAGGGAGTCTGAAAGTGGGTCGCCACCTACAAAAATATTTGTTTTTTGTGTCTTTCACATGTACCATACTACAACTTAAAACATTTCTGTTAATATTTGTTTCAATAAAATGAAAAAAGAGAACTAGAATTACTACTTAAAAAATAAATATTTTTAAATTTGTATACTCATTGTCATAATATGCCAATATTATTATGGTCATAATGTGATGTCATCATGACCATATTAGGCATGTTGCGTGTTTTTGCAAATGAAATTTGATAGTCATGACAGGGTTTAAGAAAGTAAATTTTGAAAACATTTCTACTTTATTTAAATTTTGATAGATTGAGTATCAGCGGCTAGCAGCACCGTATTCTTCAAACTGTTTGGAAAGCAATGTAGAAACGTTATTCAGCAAAACATTTCCAAACATTAAGTATAGCCAGCAGGTAAGATATAATATATTGTACAATAATAGTAAAACAAAATACTGTGTTTCCCCCACATTTGAAAATTAGGGTCTATTGGTTTTGTACAGTATGCAAATCATGTGAGTATATAGAGTCAAAGGGGAGGCGGTTTGGCGCAGCCATCTCCACTCAGAGTTCAAGCTTCGTTCGAACAACACACTGACCATTCTCAGCCGGCCATGCTTAGTTACCCCAGATTGCACTGTTGACGGACTGTGAAGTGGCTTTGTGACTGCCTTTCGGCAATATTGACTGCAACGGTGAGGTCTTTATCTAAATTTGCACTCAATGAGTTAAATATAATTTCAATGCAAAGGCATTTATCAAATCAATTGATAACAGAAACAAATATAGTAATAGTTCCTATTGCCATTGAATGCATATATGAACTGTTATCTGTTGATTTGACCTACACACACCCTTTGCATTGACATGTTATTTAACTCATAGCTGCCAACCACAAGGAATAGTCCCAATTTCACCATACTGTAAAGCAAGTTCCAGTGATTTTGTAGGACAATTTGCGCAGACTTAGTTTTTTTATGATGATGCTATTGATATGCTGAAGACAGCAGCAACCATGATAATAATACATTATTCATATATAGCACTTTCATATAGCTCTTTATTGTAACATACTGCCTTTCCTACCTATCCTACCAGGTCCCCCAAACCCCTGCAACTAACTGGGGTAGAGAGAAACAGTGTGGGGACACAAGAACAATGCACAGCTAGAATCAAATCTGGTTAAAATCAAACTGTTGCACCAAATGTCCACCACCAAATTTAAGTAAAGATTTCCTTTTAGGTGAGCCTCTCGATAGTAATTCAGTTTACTTTAGGTTATCCTCAGGTTTGTGTCTTTGTTATACTGTATTTTATATTGCCTGGACATAAATGAATAAAATGATAATTATATGACAAAATGATGATCTAATAACGATATATTGATAGGATATATGAGACGAAATTATGATATATGATACATGATATGGTGGTATGATATATGATATGATATATGATATTTAATTACATACGCAGTTGCCATGTTGTTATTATTATTAATTAGTAATGTATACACTACACGACCTTATACGGATATGAAATAGCAATTATGTTGATTTGTTTATTGTTATGAATATGCATCTGATAGGCCTATGTGCTGCACTGTTTGTTATTTTTATTTGTCTTCTTTTATATATAACATTTTTATGATAACCATACGTAATTTACATTATAATATACAATAAACAATATTGTATTTTTAATAGTAAATATATTATAAATTATGATCATCGTAGATAGATTCAAACACATAATGCGCTGATTACAGCTGCAACATTATGGATCCAATGGTGGCGGGATAATAATGTGTAGCGCTTAGAGGCTACACATTATGAAAGCTAAATCATTCACATTTTTTTTCTATTTGTCTCTCTGTTTTTCGCGTTATGATAATGGTAAGTACAGTGATAAAGTTGTGAAGAATATATAATATTTTTTTTATTCCAGGCCTGCTTTAAAAGCTGTCTATATTATAAAACATTCGACGTTTGTGGATGCTATATTCCTAAGTACACTTTCAATCCCGAGACAAATCCTGTTTGTACCATTGCCAATAAAACGCTAGGTAGGCCTTATTGAATTGGTATTATATTTCAAAAATGTATATATTGTTTATTATTGTAGACGAATGGAGGCCCATATTATGTATTAAGACACATTGTTAATTAAAGGCAAAAATAGTAATCTTTTTCAAAAAAGTAAATAACGAAATTTCTTTCCAACATGAGGGGATTTCTGTGCTCTTTATGATAAGCACTAAGTTATACAGTTCCCAACAAAAATGGTCGAAAACTCGCTTAATAATAATTTCACCCTAACATTTATGAAGAAAAAAGTTCCACACACACACCCACACACATAATGATTGGTGAACTGCACACAACAAGGTTACATGAATTTAAATTGTTTTCTGTAAACCTACTTTAATGTTTTTCCAGACAACTGTATGCATGAATTAGAAAGGTTGATTACAACAGGCAATGTTACCTGCAATTGTGGGCCAGCTTGCAAGTAAGTGTACGTGCGCATAACAGCACTAGTTCTTAACGCACTACTTACAACCAATACCATAAAGGAATACGTTTAGAAGGAGAACTATCCTGCGAGGATCTTTTTCGCCGGGAACACAATTATCTCACTGTTACGTAACTTATTTTCGGATTCAGTTTCTAAACTTTGTCTAAATCTGTAAAAATACTTAAAAATAAATAGATTTTGGCACCAATGGCGTTCCATATTAGGTATTTGCATGGCATTTCATAGTACACTTTTTCTTGGTTACCGCGAATCCAAATTCAACAACATGATAAAAAAGTGTTTCGATATAACCAGACGTTGGTGGCGCTCTTCGAAAGGTTCTACACTAGGAAAAAACTTATAACAAATTACAGACTTGTGGCAAGTCTATTACGTAACGTACTTTGACAACTTATTTATCCATGAATATTGTTTTAATTGTTTAAGAAAAATAAATAAAAAAACACACTGACACTTCTAAGCCAGGCACTCACTTCTCCCGACGGTGGTCGGCCGACGCGATTCAATACAGAACGTACTGCCACGGCGCGCGCGCAACGGATCGTATGACGATCCGTTCAGACTCGAAATAGACCATTAGCAGACAGTATCGTTTCGTCTAGAGTTCAGAGGGAGCGGAGTTCGATTCGTCGTAGGACGATCGTAAGATGTGTATAAGAGACAGCTGTATTTTAGAGAACTTTTTCGATTTCTTGTTCCCTTTTTAAGGGTGTCTGATGAATGTAGAAATGGGTTGATGAAA